TTCATGTGGTATTTTAGGATTGGTTGGTATGTTTGGTTGAGGTCCATGGGGCCTCGGGTGAGTTTCGGGTGGTTAACGGACTTGGAATGGAAGTTGAGAAATTTCTAAAGTTTGGTCTTTTGCTGGTATGATCACACTTGCGAGGGTATTAGCCGCAGGTGTGAGGCCGAATGTGCGGTTGGTTGAGCGTAGGTGCAGAAGGGGTGGAGATCAGCAGAGGTCGCAGGTGCGACGGTTTCTTCGCACCTGCGATAGCGTAGATGCGGACCAGCCAAGGTTAGTCATTTTCGCAGGTGCGCCCACATTTTTCGCACCAGCGGGCGCTCAGGTGCGAGCCCAGGCTCCGCAGGTGCGGAAATGCCTGGGAAATGTTTAAAACCGAAGGGCTTTGTGATTTTTCTCATTTTGGACTTTGCAAACTCGGTTTAGGGCGATTTTTGAGAGCATTTGCGAGGCATTTCTTGAGGTAAGTCCCTTGTGCTTATTTTTTATCGATAATCTCACTTCCCCATTTAATTTTCCACCTCGTTAGTATGTATTTAAGGTAGAATTTGGGAGTTTGAGGCTAGGGATTTTGAATGTTTGATTGGTAGATTTGAAGGACCATTTGGTGTCGGATTTTAGTAAATTTGATATGGTTATACTCATGAGTGACTGAGCATTCGGATTTTGTGACTTTTACCCGATTCCGAGACGTGGGCCCGAGTAAACATTTTAGGGCGAATTTCGAAATTTTTATTAAAGTATTGATTTCATTAATTAGATGAGTCTATCATGGTTGTATTTATGATATGTAATTACTTTTGGCAAGATTTGGGCCATTCGGAACCGGATATTCGTGGAAAATGCATTTTGACCGATTGATTGACCTTGGTTCGAGGTAAGTGGCTTTCCTAATCTTGGGGAGGGGGGGGAGGGGGGGAGAACTCCCCGTAGGATTTGTACTGATTTGATATATGAGCGTCGTGTACGTGAGGTGACGAGTACGTACATATGCTAATTGTGTAAAAACCCGATTTGTCTACTAAGTAATAACCTGATATCTATCTTATTTGAGTTTCATCAGCATGTATAGTATCCTGCTAGATTAGAATAACATGCCTACTTGCATTAACTGTTTACTTGAACCACGTGCAGCATGTTTAGTAAATTTACCTGTCTTTCCTTAACTGGTACTTAGGTTGAACTGTAGGATTTCGTGTCGTAACTATTGAATTCTATTGTTTCGCTGTATATTTACTTTGGGACTGCGGAACGGTGTTTCGGGAGATTCCCATGTACTGCATATTTACTTTGGGACTACAGAACAGTATTTCGGGAGATTCTCCTGTACTGCATATTTACTTTGGGACTACGAAACACTATTCCGGGAGATCCCCCTGTACTGTATATTTACTTTGGACTACGGAACGGTATTTCGGGAGATCCCCCTGTCTTGCATATTTACTTTAGGACTACGAAATGGTATTTCGGGAGATCCCCCTGTCTTGCATATTTACTTTAGGACTACGAAATGGTATTTCGGGAGATCTCCATGTACATTTATGTTTGGGACTACGAGACGGTATCTCGTGAGATCCCTTGTTGTATTCTGTGTACTGAGCTATTACCTTCTATGAATTCTTTCTTGTTAAATTTCAGTCTTTATTTTTTTGCGATATTTCATTCTTGCCTTGCCTTATTATTAATTATACCAGTAGGGTCCTGACCTGACCTCGTCACTACTTGACCGAGGTTAGGCTTGGAACTTACTGGGTACCGATTGTGGTATACCCATGCTACTCTTCTGCACATGTTTGTCGTGTGCATATCCAGGTGCTCCTTATCAGCCGCACTATCAGTGAGCCAGGCCAGCTTTGGAGACTTCAAGGTATATTTTCCACGTCTGCAGACCTCGAAATCCCCTTCTATTCTTCCCCATGTTCATTATCTTCTGTATTTTCTTTAGATAGACTCTGATGTATAGAGACACTAGATTTTCCTTCTGTAATTTATGATTCACGATGTTCCGGGTTTCGGAACAGTTAGTTGTTAAAATTATATTTTTATTTTATTACTCCGCAAATGTTAAGCTTACCTAGTCGTAGAGATTAGGTGCCGTCAAAATGTCATACAGAGAAAAAATTTGGGTCGTGACATACTGCTTGTATTATGTTGTTATTTTCTTATAGATAGAAATGCACATATAAGTTTGAGTGCGGTTTGAATTATCAATTTACATACTTTAAGAAAAGCAATTAAGTTTACGACCAAAATATTAACTTGTGATTCCTTAGATTTTAATAGAATTATCTCTTGTTGAGTCGGTGAACTCACTCCATTCCACACTTCATATTTACTGATTCAAAAGTCCGGGACGAGCCTACTAATTGAGCACTCTTCCTATAGTCCGAGTTAGGGCCATTCAAAATCGAATCGAAACCGTTAGCCGATTCGAATTGATGGCTTATTAGTTTATTGGTATCGGATTATCGGGGTAATGGATGATGAACAGATTGAGATTTTATAATTAACGGCTTAATGCTTTGGGAGCGGATTACTCAATTTTTTTATTGGGTAAACTGTTAACCGGTAAGAATTTTTATATTGATACTTTTACCCTTATGTAAAATGACTATGCAGCTGCTTTTGTATTGGTTCAACTGGTTTGTGCTTTCTGTGTTATTCAACTTGAAATGATAAAAGCCGGACATTTAGCTCATATTATAGCACAGTAAAATTAGGCGGAGCTGTAGTAAGATGGATAAAGCTAGTTTTCTTCATGTTTAGGATGCTCATCTGGATTTTGTATAGTGCAATGAACTGAAACTATGTTCTTTGAATAGATTAGCCGGTATGTGTTATGTCTTCCTTATAAGTAGTTCTTGCATGTACTAGATTCTAAGGCGACTCTTCAAAAGTACTGCTAGATTAACAAGACAATCTTTTGAATTTGAATCTGACATAAGTCTGAAAGTATCGACATGTCATCTTACTATGGCCGTTTGGTATTGATTGTTCAAAAATTTTCTATTTGGGTTAGCCGATAAATCGCCCGATAATCATTAATCCGATACCAATCCGTCCATTGTCTTATTGGATGGCTAGCGGATTATTATATTTATAATCCGATAACCGTTAAGCCGAACCGTTAAACATAATTATCCGCTCGATAAGCACCCCTAGTCCGAGTGGTAAGGATCACATCTTGTTCATCAATTTTATTTTATTATATATATATATATAATACAAAAATAAAAATATTGAATATAAATGTAAAAGAAGACACAATTTTTAAATACAGTAATTTATCTATTAGCGTCATTTACAAAAAAATTTGTATACGACATTGTATTTTCTCCTCCTCCGATCCGAGTGTTAGTTGGGTGGCGATCCCACATGTCTCAATGTTTATGACTCTTAGAAGTTCCAAGAACCTTGCATCGCACGTCTAGTTGATATGTTCTAGGATTTAACTTGACATAATGTATAATGTAAAAATTATTGTCTTTTTCTGAGATTTTGTGTATGTCATGTTTGACGTCTTTGGCATATTTTTGAGAATATTAGGAACAAGGATTAATGGTTCATATAGAGTGGGGTGATCGGCACAAAAAGGACTTTTTGGGGTGATCTTAGCGGAATATCCTCAAAATTAATAGTATTTAAAAAATAATTTTGAATTCGCACAAGCTCTTAAGGGGTTTCTATAGCGGATTAAATTGTAGATTGAAGTCGATCCGATTGTCGTAGTTTTGCTCTTCAGGATTTCTGTATCAATCTGGTAGCTAGAGTTGATGTTATTATTACTCTACATATCTAATTGTTCATTGAAGTCTATCGAATTGTCATACTTTTGTTTTTCAGGGATTTCTCTATCAGGTCGGTAGAGTTTGATGATATATTTTCTCTACCTATCTGTATTTTGAGATTTTTGTAGTAAATTACTAAAATTTGTGTTTGAACTAAAAATTTAACCACAAATTATCAGCATTCAAATGGTTTTAGCAATAATCGATCATTAACTTTTTCTTTTCATCACCAAACAAGAATTTCAAGCTTTTAAAAGTTGAAGAACTACAACGTTCAAGTAAAAAAAGAAATATTTTATTAAGACCGTAAAAAATAAGAATATTTCGCCGGGACCATCTGCGATGCTAATTTGTATATAAGGGTGCGCTATATTCACTACGTACCCCTAGTCTGGTCCTTTGACAACAAATTTTGTGATCTGCCTACATAAATCATAATAGAGATAGACTTGGGGACCATTTTAGAAAGCCGGTGGAGCAAGGAGCAAGAAATTCTCTAATTTTCATTTTTTTTGGTCCCCTAGAAATTTCAAACATTTCTACAACTCTCTTTAAAGAAAAAAAAATACTTACAAGTAAAAATAGAGAAAAAGGGAAGGATAGAAACATAATGTGAAAAATCATATTCTCGTTGTTCTATTTTAAATAAACTATTTTTGGGAAATCATATCTCTTTAACTACTACTATTACTTTTAAAAATTAAAATTTTAAAAAGTGAACCAAATAACCTATACACAAATCTTGTATGTATATTAAAAAGTTTACTAGATAATTATAAATATTTAATTATAATCAATTATTATTATATATCAACATTTAAATTCAGAATCAACGTCTCATTTTTTAAATATGTATGGAAGTTAATATCCAGAGTGGAAAAATCGTCATAGGAAATGAAATAAAGAAAGTGCGCGGTGATTCTCTGACATGTTTCTTCCTTATCTGAAATGGTACTACTTACTGCTTAATTCTTTTCCTCAAAACACAAGCCTACGTGGCATCTTTTTAATGCTACTGCGCCATATATAAATATTCTTATACAAAAAAGTCAAAACAAAAAGAAAGTACAAAAAAATTGATGGCCGTCCCCTTCAAATCCTCTTACCTTAGAAACTTCTCAAGTAGTGGACTACATGAAAACATAGATGCTTTAAATAATATAATTAATAATTGTTAATTTATTTCCTCCAATTAAATAGCTTCGAGAAATGAAAAGAACATGTTGAGTTCAAAATATTAAGTTGGCTGTTTGACCATTATGCATGTGGCATAAAGCTTTTGGGAGATACTATTTGGAGTTTTGGACACCAAATTCAATTCAATTCAAGATTGTTGCTTTTTCTTTTAACTGATCATTCCCCAGCTTAAAAAGTAGAAAAAAAGCAGGAATTTGATAAAGGGTCTGTGTTAAGTTAACCCAAGAATCTTGGTTTTAAGGAGTAGCTATTAATGGAACAGAAAAAAGGGAATTTAGTTTTTGCAGTAAATGGAGAGAGGTTTGAGTTGCCAAATATTGACCCCTCTACTACTTTACTTCAGTTCTTGCGTTCTGAGACTTGTTTCAAGAGTCCTAAACTTGGTTGTGGTGAAGGTAATTAATTCTCCTAATTTTTTTTAACCACTCTGTTGCATGTATACAATATGTTTGTTTTGGTGCTAATATAATAAGGAATACTAAAAGCTTTGGATTTACTTATATTGGTGTTTCAATGGACATGTTAGTTTTGTTTTATTTCTGCACTTTGCTTGGAAATTGACAACTTCTTCTGTAGTTTTCTCCAAATGATATGACCTTTCTTTTCAATATCTTGAGAGATAAGGTTACTTATCATAAAAATATTTATAAAAAAAAAGTGTTAAAGTTTTTAATATATGCATGATTATATACATACTAGGCTAACTTCTGTAGTTTTTCAATGTACAATACTTGTTAAATGATACTATATTTTGTTCCTTATATTCTGACTTGAGACTAGATGGAAATCCTTTTCTCTTCATAAGCTTTTTAAAGGTGTATCATCTCTTCACCTTCCATCATTAATTTTGATTCCAATTCTGTTATTCTGTGTTAGTTCATCATTTAGTCAAAGTTGATAGTATGCCCCTTTCGCAGTAGTGGAGCTATAAATTTCACAAAAGGGTGCAAAAGTATATATAAAGAAGTAAACACATGAAGAAAATAAGGGGATTCAACATATAGTATATATACATAAAAATAATATTTTTCTTTAGCTACACAGTGTATTAATTTTCGGGCAAAATGGTTTCAATTACACCCCTTAGCTTAAAGTGGCTCCGCAACTGCCCTTTCATAAGTATTTTTGTAACAAGTTCTCAATTTTGGGTTCAGAAAGAACTTAATTTAATTCTTATGATTACAGGTGGTTGTGGGGCTTGTGTTGTTCTGGTCTCAAAGTATGATCCTAAGCTTAAAAAGGTCGAAGATTTTAGCGCGAGTTCATGCCTTACACTTCTTTGTAGTTTAAATGGTTACTCAATTACTACAAGTGAAGGCCTTGGGAACACCAGAGATGGTTTTCACTCTATTCATGAAAGATTTGCTGGTTTCCATGCTTCTCAATGTGGCTTTTGCACTCCTGGAATGTGTATGTCATTTTTCTCAGCTCTTGTCAATGCCGATAAAGGAAACAAGCCGGATCCTCCACCAGGATTTTCTAAGCTTACTTCATCTGAAGCTGAAAAGGCCATAGCAGGGAACCTCTGTCGGTGCACTGGATACCGGCCTATTGCTGATGCCTGCAAGACTTTTGCTGCTGATATTGATATAGAGGATTTGGGGTTCAATTCTTTTTGGAAAAAGGGAGATTCCAAGGAATTGAAAATAAGTAAATTACCTCCTTATGATCCAACCAAGAATTTTAGTACATATCCGGAGTTCTTGAAAAGTGAATGCGCCACAAATTTGGACTCCACAAGGTACCCTTGGTACAGTCCTACTTCCATTGAAGAGCTGCAGAGCTTGTTGAACTCCAGTGTGGCGGATAATGGTGCGAGCTTTAAACTGGTCGTTGGTAATACAGGCACAGGTTATTATAAGGAAACTCAGCGATATGATCATTACGTTGATCTCAGGTATATTCCTGAACTCTCAATCATCAAAAGAGATCAGACAGGCATTGAAGTGGGAGCAACTGTGACTATCTCTAAACTTATAGCATTCTTGAAAGAGGAAAACAAAGTCAATTTGGGTCCATATGGGAAGCTGGTGTCCGAAAAGCTGGTTAACCACATGGAGAAGATTGCTTCACCATTTGTTAGGAACTCTGCTAGTGTGGGAGGAAATTTGGTTATGGCACAAAAGAATGGTTTTCCTTCAGATATTGCTACATTATTTCTTGGTGTGGGTGCTACCGTTAGCTTGATGACCGGTCATGGACTTGAAAAACTCACATGGGAGGAATTATTATCGAGACCGCCAATAGACTCAAGGACCGTGCTTCTAAGTGTTTGGATCCCATTTAAAGAAGAGAGTTCTCTCAAAACCTTTACTAAGTTTTTGTTTGAGACCTATCGAGCTGCTCCCCGACCTCATGGGAATGCAATAGCATATGTAAACGCTGCTTTTGGGGTTGATGTTTCTCTCTGCCAGAACGGCATCCTGATAAACGATATCCGGCTGGCGTTTGGTGCTTATGGTACAAAACATGCAACAAGGGCTAAAATGGTAGAGGAATATCTAACAGGGAAAATATTAAATGCACATGTTTTAAGTGAAGCACTTAAATTAGTCAAACTAGCTGTGGTACCGGAAGATGGGACTTTACACCCAGAGTATAGATCAAGCTTGGCCGTCAGTTATGTTTTTCAGTTTCTTTATCCCTTAGTTGATGTTCATTCTGCTATTGTCAATGGAATCAATGACATCTCACTCGAGGAAGTTTCAAAAAGTAGTAATGATAGTCAGGGGAGAAAACAAACACTACTGTCTTCTTCTAAGCAGGTTGTGGAATCAAGTAGCGAGCACTATCCAGTGGGTGAACCAATGAAGAAGGTTGGAGCTGCCATGCAAGCTGCTGGTTTGTACTCTCCTTTGGTATTTTATTTCATCTTGTGCATGTTAGGACAAGGTCATCTATTAAAGGCCTATGAGTGTTAGACAATCGTTAAGTTTTAAGTTAATTCACTTTAACCATGCAAATTTATAACTTCTTGTCTAGATGAATGAATCATCTTATACAAACAATAACCCAGTGGAATCCCACATGTGGGGTCTAGGGAGGGTACTGAATATGCAGGCCTTACCCCTACCCTGGGAAGGTAGAGAGGCGGTTTCCGATAATGAATCGTCTTATACATTCACTATATTTGCGTTCCCTAACATCTGCTTATGTTTTATATATTTTCTCTAAATTAAATGCAATTCAATAGAAATTCTACTTTGAGTATACACAAATTTTCTCATCAGAACCTGACTATATGACCAACAATTACTAGGAACTTTTGAGAAACTTTTGTCGTTGTAACCTAAGAAAAATTGATTTAGATTCTCAGACATCTCGTTTAGATGCTTGTGAAGGGTAGAAATGTGTTCTCATGAACAGGTCTTTTTGTTTCTTAAGAGATGTTCTGGACATTCCATATGGATGATTGAGCTTTATATACTGTGAATTTGATAAGTGATATTTAAAGTGAAAAGAGGCTTGAGCTTTTGATGTTTTTTCCCTCTGTAAATGGTTCAGTATTTTCTCAGATCAGCTCTTGTGGTCATTTCTTCTCCTTTTCTGTAGCCCTTGTTGTCATGTATTTCCCCTTCCATGCTTTTATTGGTTTAACACAAAATAGTCTATGTGCCTCTTATTTTAACAATAACTTTGTTCTGCAATATTCATCTTCTGGTTTATAATATATTTTGCAGGTGAAGCTGTTTATGTAGATGACATTCCGTCACCACCAAACTGCCTGCACGGAGCATTTATCTACAGCACAAAACCATTAGCAGGTGTAAAAGGAATCCATCTTGAGTCTAATTCATTAACAGATGGATTCACCGACATTATTACTTTCAAGGATATCCCAAGTGGAGGGTCAAATGTAGGATCTATTACAATGTTTGGTCCTGAGCCTTTATTCGCAGACGATCTCGCCCGATGTGCTGGCGACAGAATTGCAGTTGCGGTATGAAACATTAATTTCTCATACACTTTTGATCCATAAATTTTTTTTTAACTATTTCTTTTTGTTGTTCAACATGGCGATCTAATGACATAGGTTGCTGACACTCAGAGGTCTGCTGATGTGGCTGCCACAACAGCCCTTGTTGAATATGACACTGTAAATGTAAATTCACCGATTTTAACTGTCGAGGAAGCTGTTGAGAAATCTAGCTTTTTCCAAATCCCGCCATTTCTATATCCAAAACAGGTTGGCGATTTCTCAAAAGGAATGGCTGAAGCTGATCACAAGATTCTCTCTGCTGAGGTAATTTTGATTTCTCTATAGTTCCATAGCATGTCTAACTGTAGTAGATGTACGCTAAAGGTTAAAATTTTCTATTGATTGGCTCTTCTTCTAATGATCATTTCCAGGTAAGACTTGGTTCCGAGTACTATTTTTATATGGAGACACAGACTGCCCTTGCAATTCCAGATGAAGACAACTGTATGGTTGTTTATACTTCAAGCCAGTGCCCTGAGTATGCGCAAAATGTGATTGCCAGTTGTCTTGGTGTTCCTGAACACAATATCCGTGTTATTACAAGAAGGGTTGGAGGTGGCTTTGGGGGCAAGGCAGTCAGAGCAATGCCTGTGAGTATATGGAAAAAATTAGTAATAATAATAAAAAGTAGTACTAATAATGCCTGTGGATGTTTCTTTCTCGATCTGTTCCAGAAGAGAATTCCGGCTCTGATGCCAAAGTTTATGTATGATTTTCAGGTTTCGACAGCCTGTGCACTTGCAGCATACAAGTTAAGGCGGCCTGTGAGGATAAATGTCAACCGGAACAGCGACATGATAATGACAGGAGGAAGACACCCAATGAAAGTAACATACAGTGTAGGATTCAAGTCAAGCGGAAAGATCACAGCATTACATCTTGATATATTGATAAATGCTGGGATTTCGGAAGATATAAGCCCCCTCCTACCATCAAATGTGATTAAAGCATTAAAGAAATATGATTGGGGTGCCTTATCTTTTGATGTAAAAGTATGCAAGACGAATCTTACCAGCAAATCAGCTATGCGGGCCCCTGGGGAGGTGCAAGGATCTTATATTGCCGAAGCTATAATGGAGCATGTAGCGAGTTTACTGTCAAAGGAGGTGGATTCTGTCAGAAATAATAATGTTCATACATTGGAAAGCATTAATTTATTCTATGATAACATCGTAACTGAAGTAGGAGAATATACGTTGCCTAGTATCATGGATAAGTTGGCCGTGTCCTCGAGCTTTTTCCAACGTAGCAAGATGGTGGAACAGTTTAACCAGAAAAACACATGGAAGAAAAAGGGTATTTCTCGACTGCCAATAATGTTTGAAGCTATGCAACGACCGACCCCAGGAAAAGTCAGTATCCTGTCGGATGGATCAATTGTTGTAGAGGTTGGAGGGATTGAAATCGGCCAAGGGCTATGGACAAAGGTTAGACAGATGACTGCATATGCTCTTGGTTTAATTGAAAGTAGTTGGAGTGAAGAACTTGTAGGGAAAGTACGAGTCATACAAGCAGACAGCTTAAGCTTAGTGCAAGGTGGGTATACGGCTGGAAGCACTACATCGGAATCAAGCTGTGAAGCAGTTAGACGTTGCTGTAGTGTCTTGGTTGAAAGACTGACTCCTCTGAAGAAACAGTTGCAGGAACAAAATGGCTCTCTTGATTGGCCAACGCTCATTCGCCAGGTTTGTTTTCCCAATTTTTCACTTGGTCACTCTTTCTCGCGTGTTAAATATCTGAGTTTGGAGTTCTCTCCCACCCACCTCCCTTCTTTTTGCAGGCACAAATGCAAGCAGTAAACTTAGCAGCAAATTCTTATTATGTACCAGAATCCAGTTCCATGAGTTATTTGAACTTTGGTGCCGCTGTCAGTGAGGTAAACTTGTGTTTTCTGTTGCTTTTTCCGGTTTGACTATCCGTGTCTTTGGTAGCGTTCCCTGCTTCAGTCTGCTTCAATGATTATCGATTTTCGGTATGTTTGAGTGCACAACACTTGGCTGGAAACTCTGATTGTGGATAATTTTGCGGCCAATTTATTCTTCTGAAAAACATTCTTAGTAATAGCAAAAGCTCTTTTTGCAGGTGGATATAGATATTCTTACTGGAGAGACTGCCATTTTGCAGTCGGATATTATTTACGACTGTGGGCAGAGCTTGAATCCAGCTGTCGATATGGGACAGGTTCATAACAGTCTTGCCTTTGTTGTATAATTTAGATTTTGTAGTTGGAATTTTTGTGTAATTGAGAGGTGCATCATAATCTATTCTTGATCGTAAAATGTTCTAAATAGCGGCAATTTTTTTTCTTTTCCTTGCAGATTGAAGGAGCTTATGTACAAGGAATTGGATTTTTTATGCATGAAGAATATCTTACAAACGACGATGGGTTGATGGTCTCAAATAGCACTTGGACATACAAGATCCCAACAATCGACACCATACCCCAGAATTTCAACGTTCATTTGGTAAACAGTGGACATCACGAAAAACGTGTTCTCTCTTCCAAAGGTATTATTTATTTTCCCTACCCTTCTGTCAAACAAGTTCGCCAAGTTCTTTGCTTGTTCGTTTATATCTGCAAAAATCATGAAAAATTTTCTACTGATTCTTCACTTAGTTGAGAGGAAAATGTCGCAAACTCATTTCAAGATAGTATATCATATATGTATATTCATTAGTACAAACTGTTGAACCTAATATGATTAATTACTATTTTGCAGCATCTGGTGAACCGCCACTGCTACTTGCAGCTTCAGTCCATTGTGCAACAAGAGCGGCTGTTAAAGCAGCAAGAGAACAACTCAAAGTTTGGGGCAAGCTCGACGAGTCTGCTTCAGAATTCTATCTGGATGTTCCTGCCATATTACCTGTTGTGAAGACGCAGTGTGGTCTAGATTATGTGGAGAAATACTTAGAAAGTTTACTGACTCAGAAATCTAACTAAATCGCGGAATATCACACAGTTGGAGACATTTTCTGTGGCCTGGATCACAAGGACAAGTGCTCATTATGTCTCAAATGATACTGAATACTTGTTTTTTCTTCAAATCTTCTTAAGAATTTGAACTGTTCTGTTTCCAAAAAGTGGATGATTAAAGTTTCTTTTGTTATTTTGTCTATAACAACCTTAGTGTAAATTCAGATTGTATAGCAGTAAAAATAATAGTATTGTGTATTCAACTGAATTATAGTTGAAGAATTAGAGAAATAAAGAGTTTTGTAGTAAATTTCATCTTTGGATCAAGTCGAATTTTTTACTGGAAACTTGTGATATCCTATTATTCAATCTTCTTATGGATTTATATCTCACCTCATTGTTTATTTTGGTTATTTAGACCCAACTTGGGACCAAGAGTACACTCTTTCTATTATAAAAAGATTTCAAATTTGAGTCTCGAGTTACCTTTGGTAGGGCGTGGTTTATCCTCAAAATAAGACTGTCCGACGAGAATTCAGATTAATCAGACCCCAAAGCGGGTATCAAATAACGAATAGAAAATCACAAAAATAAATTAAGTGGTGTAGTACTTTATTGAAATTTTAAAACTACTACTCAACATTTTAAAAGTAAATATTATAGTTCATAGCAATAAGGACATAGCATCATAATTCATAATCATATGTCTGCTACATCTTTGATACATACCTGCATTTTGAAAGTACTTGTATAGGTCAAGTACATGAACCCTAGAGTACTTCATCACTACATATAATTCATAATAAGATAATTAACTAAATAACAACATATAATTTTAGTCTGATAAGAGATGACTTGATCTTAAGCTTTGTTGGAAAGTTTTTCAAGAAGGCTGCGAAATATTTCAGGGGTCAATGGCTTCTCGTAGCAATCATCAAGACCAGCTTCCATAAATTCTTTGCGAACTTCTTCCTTGTCATTCACATTAGTCATTCCAACAATCATAGTTGTAATTCCCATTTCTCGAAGCTTTTTTGTTGCCTATATATGGAAAGATTCGGTTAAATTGTTTTTAAATGGAAACATGTTCCGCACATACATAAAATGATAAAAACTTATTTGTATCGAATAATTTTTTTTCCCCAGAAAATTCCCAGGAAACTGCGGCCGCTATCCTTCGGGTGCCTGTTCACTGTGCCATAGTTCGTAAACCATACAGACCGGAGTAATAGTTCGCAAACCACACAAGAGATGTAAATAACAGTGGGCAAGTCCGATAGAACGGATTCTGACCGAGGAGACTGCTGGTGAGGGGAATTGATCCCAGATCTCCCATGTGAGAAACCACCCACCAACCAACTCGGCCAACCCGTGCGGGCTCGGATGTTTACGAAAGTAATCTTGCGATTTCAGAAAGCTTACCCGGATACCGTCCATAAGCGGCAGCACAGAGTTCATAAAGATTAAATCGAAACGCATTTGTGTAATATCATGGATGTTGACTGCTACGTTTCCATTTCTCACTCCCAAAGTTTCCACTCCGCACTTCTGAAGAAATAAAATGTACGTTGTTTGAGACACGTCATCATCATCAACTATGAGTACTTTGAGTTGTTTCCCAACTTTGAAGTCATTTTCAGGTCCAACTCTTTTCTTACTCTTTGAAGAAGAAGCACTCGCGCTCGAAGACATTTTCCTGCCAAAAAAAGTAAGAAGAATTATCCTAAATAGCCGCCATACAACCGTATTTAATCAAAAAATAGACAAAGGATATATAAAATATGTATAATCTATAAATAATCTGTGTAATCTATGCGTGATTAAAACTTATTACGTTAATAAATTTGTTTGTTGTGTTAAGTCTTCATTTAGAAATAGAAAGCATATTTGGTAACAACAATAGTTATGGTGGAGCAGTAAGTACTCTTTCTTTCTTAATCAAATGTCTCGGGTTCGCCTTTATTAGGAAGCGCAAACCCTTCAATGCAGACTTCCCATGCGAATCCGAATTTAGCTGGACCACGATACAACTATCGGACACCGGGTGAGAAACCAAAAAACACATACCACGTAATTAACAATATCAACTACATCGTTTATTTCCTTTCATGAAGGTGTTACTAGAGAGTGAAAACAGCGTTGGCAAAATCTAGTAGTTCTGTTGTGAAGCTTAAATAATGAATCTTTCCTAGAAATTCAATTTTTCTTAACAAAATGACAAATTGGTTATCTTTAATCTGATCAGGAGACTTCTAAGGACTTCTACAATATAAAGCCAGTAATTGTAACACTAGGTTCTTGTTAAAATTTTCTTTTACATGTATCACATATAAAAGGGACCAAATGGATATATTTTTGATTAATTTGTTGAAAAAAAAAACATATAAATGATGTTATTGATAAAACCATAAATTCTAACTATTCACTACACAATTATGTAATTCTTGAATGAGAGTTTTAGTACATACCTCTCTCGTACTCAGAACAAACACTTGAATGCATGTATACTCGAAATAATTTGATGCGCACTTAAATAGGAGCCATGTGAGAAGTTTCATAAATGAATTTTGCCGAAATTAGCCATTGGAAAATTGAAAATAGCAACTCAACATAAATGAAATTTGCTTAAATTTGCTATTGGGAAGTTGAAAAAGCAACACGACATTTAGCAGATGAGATCACGATTAAAGTATTATCTTAACGCTTCTTTTCTTTGACTTTTAGTATAATAATGTCGATAAACGTGACATATAAGAACTTTGTGAATATATTGAATTTTGGCATTTTCAATAATTGTAGCCTAATAGTAGTGATAGTCAACTCGAGCAATCTACTGATCGCCGCTGGGACCGACTCCAAAATCTGCACCAGAAGTGCAGAGTGTATTATGAGTACAACCGACCCCATGTACTCTGTAAGTGCCGAGCCTAACCTCGATGAAGTAATGACTAGGCTAACCTGTACGCAGTATAAAATAATGACAGGAAAGGAAAATACGAAGACGAAATAAAGTAGTTAACTCATGAAAATAACTCAATTCTCGAAGAAAACCAGTAAATGCCAGAAATACCAATCCTTAGAGTCTCGTATGAAAGTACCGAAGCCAACACAACACAACAAGGAATAGAAACACATAAACTGTTCCATCGCATAACTCGATCTTACCGTACAACACTATCCTCCCTTATTCCACCATATAATTATCAATAATAATAAGTAAATATATGTTGCGGTGCACAACCCGATCCCACCATATAATCATAATCAATATCATAATTCACCCTTATTCCACCATATCAACCCACCCTTATGTAACAATCCGGCCGGTCGTTTTGAGTGTATTAACCCCGATCCCCTATTTACTCTTTTTACCGTATCTGTTTTTGCTTAAGTGACTTGCCGGGAGGTCTTATTTTTGGTTTCGAAGTGTTTCGGGACACTTAGTCCCTAAAACGGAAGCTTAAGTCTCAGGATTTTGACCGTAGTCGGAAGTGTGTGAAGATGACTCCGAAATGGAGTTTCGTCGATTCCGTTAGATGCGTTAGGTGATTTTGGACTTCGGAGCGTGTCCAGACTGTGAATTTGAGGTCTGTAACTAATTTAGGCTTGAAATGGCGAAAGTCAAATTTTGGGAAGTTTGACCGGGGGTGACTTTTTGATATCGGGGTCGGATTTCGATTCCAGAAGTTGGAATAGGTCCGTAATATTGAATATGACTTGTGTGCAAAATTTGAGGTCAATCGGACGTGGTTTGGTAGGTTTCAGCGTCGTTTGTGGAATTTGAAAGTTTAGAAGTTCTTTAGGCTTGAATCCGGGTGTAATTGGTGTTTTGAGTGATTCGAAGGCTCGACTAAGCTCGTATGGTATTTTAGGATTGGTTGGTATGTTTGGTTGAGGTCTCGGGGACCTCGGGTGAGTTTCGGATGCTTAACAGATCATTATGGACTTGGCTTGACAGCTGAAATTTTGGTTTCAGCAGGTTCTGGTTTCCTTGTACGCGATCGCAGGGATTCATTCGTGATCATGTAAGCTTATTTGGGGTAGAGGTGAGTTTTTCTATGCGATCGCAGAGTTAGGAACACGATCGTGTATCTGTGCGAAGATGTGCTTCGCGAACGCGTGGCTAAGGTCGCGTTCGCGTAGAAGGATTTGAGCATGAGGGGAGCTGTGGCCAATGCTCTATGCGATCGCGTGAGGCAGCGTGCGATCGCGTAAGTATGAGAGGCAGTGATCCGCGATCACGTGGGTGATTCCGCGTTCGCGTAGGGTAAAAATATGGGGCAGCATAGTTGTGCTTCGCGATCGTGAGGAATGTTCCGTGATCGCGATGAAGGATATCTGGGCAGGCAGTATTAATTTCAACAACGAGGGTTTGAACCCATTTTGCATATTTTGAGCTAGAGAACACGGAATTGGGCGATTCTTGAAGGGATTTTCGTAGAGTTGATTGGGGTAAGTGATTCTTACTTGGTTTTGGTTAAATCTCATGATTTCATCTTTAATTTTATCATCTAATTTGTGATTTGGGGTGTCAAATTAGGAAAAAAGAGGAAAGAACTCTTGAGTTGGGATTTTGAGGTATTGAATGGGATTTTGTTATCGGATTTGAGTAAATTTGGTATGGTTAGACTCGTGAGTGAATGGGCTTTCGAGTTTTGTGACTTTTATCGGATTTCGAGACGTGGGTTCGGGGTCGGGTTCGGGCCAATTTCGAATTTTTGGCTATAATTTAGGACTTTTCTTGTGGAATTGATCCCTTTAGCCTATATTGATTATATTGTTCTACTTGTGACTAGATTCAGGAGGTTTGGAGACCGATTTGAGAGGTAAAGGCATTTCAGAGTAGAGATTTGCTCGGTTTGAGGTAAGTAACAGTCTTAAATCTGGTTTTGAGGGTATGAAACCCCGAGAATTTGTATGATATGAATAATTGGAGGTGACGCACATGCTAGGTGACTGGCGTGCGGGTGTACACCATGAGGGATTATGACTTGGTCCGTCCCGTGAGACTGTAAAGTTGAATAGCCATTGTTATTACTTGTTTTCCTCCTCTTTGAGCAATTGACTACCTTTCATGTTAAAAACCATGCTTAGGCCATATGATATCACTGTTGGGACCCGCAGTGGTCGTATACTTGTTGAATTGACTGCTAATTGTTGTCTTGTACTCAGTCACAGGCTTACTTGTATGTTATATCTCCATTTCCTCTCATTTCTTGTTGATACATGTTGTATTTTCTGCTTGGGTTAGTTATTATGATATTCTGTGAGCCCGAGGGGCTGGAGAGGTTAGTGACCGAGGTACGGCCTGAGTGCCGAGCTACGAGCTGTGAGGTATATGGATCGGTTTGCACGCTGCAACAAGCCTTCGGGAAATATATATNTCCCCTCCGGAGTTTGTACACCCTCAGTGAGCACAAGTACCTATTGAGAGTGTGTATTGAGGGCTGAGAGCCGAGAGTATGAGATGATGAGATGAGTTGAGTGACTGCTGCCTCGAGAGGTTGTTCTTGCTTTTATTTATTATTTCACTTAGTTGCTATCTGATGTTGTTGTGAAATTTCTTGAAGATTCATATCTGTCTTACTTGGGATCGAACTGATTTGACTTACACCATTGGATTTGAAAGCATGTTCACTCTTTACTGAAAACTTTTGAAATGATCTGTATTATTATAGCTCGTCACTGCTTCTCAGTTCCTTATTTTATTCTGTTACTTGTTGAGTTGGTTGTACTCATGCTATACCCTGCATTTCATGTGCAGATCCAGGTGTGTATGATTTTGGCGGTCGCTGAGTTCGTGCGTGGGCTGATTATTGGAGACTTACGAGGTAGCTGCCGGCATTCGTCCTTGTTTCTTCTTTCTTATTATCTTTTTTCTCTTGTATTGGCATTTGGCACAGACTGTAGTAGACTCTGTTTCTAGGTTGGTTATTAGATGCTTATGACTTAGTAACACCCCGATGTCGGGCTATTTTTGTTTTATGTTTTATTTGGGTTTTACCCCCGTTTTTATGAAAAACTCTGGTTATTTTAAATGTCGTAATTCATTTATGTTAAATTTTGAAAGTGTTTTGGAAAGGTCGACTTGCCTAGTATCACGATAAGCGCCATCATGACGGGTTGGGTTTTGGGTCATGACACCTTATTTCACCTGTGGCGGCGCGCAACCCGATCCCACCGTATCAATATAAATTCACCCTTATTTCACCATATCAATCCACCTTTATTTTACCTGTTTCGGTGCGCAGCCCGATCCCACCGTATCAATATAAATAAATCAATAAGTGCAACTAATTTGACAACTCGAATCACAAGTGTCACGACCCAAAATCCAACTAGTCGTGATGGCACCTAACCCAACCCACTAGGTAAGCCAATTAACAACTATCCAATTTAATGAGATTTATTGAGACAAATTAATGATAAAATAACTGAACCTTTATACATTTCCCAAGGACTGGTAGTACAAATCATGAGCTTCTATAATTTAGAATTTACAAAGCTGGTATGAAATAAAATACATCATCTGTTTGCAATGTACATGAACAGATTAAAAATTCTAAAGCTACCAAGATCAAGAGGTAGCTATGATCGGACGCAGGCACATCTTCAAATCCAGCTCCCTCCATACACAACACCATCAACATCCAACATCTACACGCAATGTGTAGAAGTGTAGTATGAGTAAAATCGACCATATGTACCTAACCTTAGGATGAAAGTAGTGACGAGCTGGGACAAAGGGTAGAGTCCAACACCAATTGCCAAGAACATATCATAACAATATAATAAAAGTGGTACAAGAAATAACTCAGAGATATAATGCTCAACTCGTTCACAGTTCCGGAAAATAAGCATGCTTTTCAAGTATATCGGTGAAAACCCAGATCTTTTACTGAAATCACCAAAATATGAATAAATCTGAAAAACTGTAATTTTTCCCAAAAACTTTGAACAATTGGTAGGATATTTCATTATCAAATGGCATGAGGAAAGTACATCTCTAATGCCTACATGTCAAATTGTATGTGAAGTCATGAATGATGCAATACCATACAACATGAGGAAAATGCATCTCTATGCCTGTATATCAAGTGTGCTTGTCGAATGCAATGCAAAGCAATGATAAAACCATATGCATACTCCCAGAGTATCAATTCAGTCAGTCCTCCCAGTCACTCAGTACTCACAATCACTCAGTCCTCCCAATCACTCGGCACTCGCATTCGTACTCGGCACTTAGTAGGTACCTACGTTCACTGTGGGTGTGCAAACTCCGGAGGGGAAGATTCAGCCCAAGCGCTATAATAAACCAATCATGGCATGAATCAATAATACCTGATGCGACATACAACCCGATCCCATCATGAATCAATAATACCTGCTGCAGCGTGTAACCCGATCCCATCAATATCACTCATAAATAGGCCCTCGACCTCACTCAGTCATCAATCTCTCTAGTCTCTCGGGCTCACAATATCATGAATATCATCCCAAAAATGATGATATGATGTATCAATAAATGACAACAGAGACTGAGATATGATATGCAAA